ATGGAAGATGGTTTTTATGTTTTTTATGTTCTTGTTTGTTTATGTATGTTTGTGTTTGCTGCAAAAAAATAAAAAACTTTTTAAAAAAAAAAGAACCAGCAGCCAAAAAATATGCTGTGGACAAGCACTTGGTAAGATAGCCATGAAGGCCTTGGAAAAGGTTTTCCAGACTTGAGAGCCAGCTGGGTCTCGTGGTGAAGGTACCAGGCTAGAAGGCAGGAGATGGCGAATTCTGGTCCTGCCTGAGGCACAAAAGCCGGCTGGGTGACGTTGGGCAGTCGCGCTCTCTCAGCCCAGCCCACCTCACAGGGTTGTGTTGTGGGAAAAATGGGAGGAGGAGGAAGGAGGATTAGGCATGTTCACCACCTTGAGTTATTTATAAAAAAAATAATAAAGGCGGGATAAAAAATCTTAATCATACTCAGATACCTTACCATGTCTATACCTACAAAGGTCAGAATCATGCAAGCCGTGGGATTCCCTGTGACGCTCTATGGAAGGAAGTTGGACTTTGAAGAAGCAAGGTATTATTGCTGCTTTTGAACTTTGGGGTTGGAGAAGGTGAGAATACCACGGACAACTAAGAAAACAAACCGATGGATCATCGAACAAATCAACCCAGAGTTCTCACTCGAGGCACAAATGACCAGGCTCCAATTTTCCTACTTTGGACACATTATGTGGTGACCCGGCTCTCTGAAGAAGGCTCTAATGCTGGAAAAGGTGGAAGGAAAGAGAAGAGGAGGACCACCAGCAGCCAGGGGGACGGACCCAGGAGGAGTGGTGATGGGGGCACTGTTGGAAGATCCGAAGGACCAGGTTGGGGACGGTGTATTTGGTCACTGAGAGCTGATGATGGCACGTGATCAAGCAATCAGCTCCCCAGACCTGTTGCTGCCATTTAGACAGCAAGGAGGTCACGTTCACTGTGGGGGAACAAGGGCTCATGTTTCGCTGGGCCGGGAAAGTCCGTCACGGCAACCGGCTTGGTCCCTGGAGACTGAGGGAGGGCAAGCCCTTTGGGTGCCCAGGAGGAGCCGAGGCTGTAGGAACCGGGCTGCGCTTGGCTGGCTGCTCCCCACCCACCACAGCACAACTTCTGCTTTCTGCCCCACCAAGAGAGCGCCAGCTACACTCCGCCAGCCGGCTGCCGTTCCTTTTTCTCTGCCGTTCCAAGGCTGCTCCTGGGCACAGCCGCGCTCCCCAATGTCTGAGGGTGTGACCTACGCTGACCTGCAGTTTGCAAGAAGCCCCCCGGAGAAAAGCCAGTGGGAAGGTAGGGGCCAGCCTGACTGGCCTTTCTGGGGCTCCCCTCCACCTGTGCCCACCTGACCCGGTTTGTCTTCCAGAGCCCAACGAAGGGGAGCTCACCTATGAGAACGTCCAGGGACCCTGGGCACAGGAGGAGGCGGTGGCAGGTGGCCCCCTGACGAGTGTCCAAGACCTGCCTCTCTGGCCAATTTCATGTCACCTCTGGAGCCCAGGTGAGTAGCTGTGCCCCCTGGCCCCAGGCTGGCCTGAAGGCTCTCCTCCCTTTGCCCTAACAGCAGGAACGAGGATGGCCCTGGCACACTTCCAGCCTGCTCTTCTGAGCAGAGCAGAGCAGAGCCAACATCACACTGCTCTGCTCGGCTGGAGAAAAAGTAGCTGCATGTTTAACAACAGCAGAATAAAGATGGAAAGTAGAACACCAGGCAATGCCTCTATTCCACACTATGAGAGAAGCAATTTTGTGGACAAGGAGGATGTATCAACAAGAAGGACTTTGGGTTTTTCTTTCAGTGACAAACCGCCAAATGCTGGGAGCCCTGACGGTCTTCCTCTTCCTTCTGGCCGCCAACATAGGACTTGGCATCCAATGTGAGTAACGGCTGCTTTGAGCTCAAACCTGGACCCCAGCAGTCTCCCGGGAGCAAGGGGGCAGACCCCCTGATTCTTGGGAGGGAGAGGAAGTATCTTCTGGAGGTGTCGTGTCTCCCCGCTGCGTTCGAGGGCAGGTGAGGTCCCCGTGCAGAGCTTCCCTAGGACACCACTACCCACGCCGTGGCTCGTGAAAGGCTGCAGGGCAGTGAGGGCAGCCTCCGCGTATGCAGCAGTCCTGCTCTGGTGCCACCCCAGCTGCTGGTCCCCTGCACAGAGACCGGGACGCTACGAGGAGGGGCACGGCTGCTGGGTGGAGGGCTGCCCGGCCCACCTCGCAGCCCAGAATCCTTCGTCCTCACCCACGTCCCCGGCTGTTTCCTCTTTCCAGACTTGCAGGCCTCCCAGCAGCTGCAACAAGCGTCCCGAGACCACGTGGCCGAGCGCCACGTCCTGGGAGAAGAGCTCCACGCCCTGCGAGTCAGCCTGGAGGAGAGCCAGCACCGGCGCCGGGCCCAGGAGGAGCTCAACTCCACCGCGGTGGCCCTTTGGGAGAGCCGGGCGGCAGAGAACCAGACCCGGCGGCAGCTGCAGCGCCAGGGACTCTTGCTGACCCGGGCCAACCACAGCCTGGCTCTGCTGCAGACGGAGAGGGAGAGCGCGGAGGCCAGCCTGAGCCAGGCCACCTCTTGCCAGCAGATCGGTACGTTCCTGGCCCTGGCTCCTCTGTGGGAGCTTTCAAGCCCCTGTTGGCCGTGTCTGTGTGTGTGTCTGTGTGTGTGTCTGTGTGTGTGCGCTCGCGCTCCTTTCCTGTTTCAGTGGAAGGGCCTGCACTGCTGGGGGCAACTGCTGGAAAGCTTCCCTGGACAGGAGGGTGAAGGACGGGCAGCGAGGGCTGGGATAGCGATCTGGGTGGGTGAGTCCAGGAAACTGCGGCGAGGGCACGCGGGGGCACCCGTTGCTTCTCCATATTTGCCAGCTTGTGGGGATGAGCTGCCCCCCCAGCCTCCGACCCGGGCCTGTCCCCGAGCCCCCTTTCCCTTCCCTCCTCCCTCAGAAGGTATCACTTCCTCATGCTGAACAAGGGTGAACTTGAGCGTAACCAGCTTCCTCTTGAAGCCATCCTCAAAAGCGGCCTTCTCCTCACGAGTCCACCCAGAGATACCAGCCGCTGCGCGCTCTGAGTCACTGCACCCCCCCTTGGCCAATTCATAGAGTGGCACCTCAGGACGATGGACCCACCCCCGTGGCAGCTGCAGCTTCCCCCTCCCCCGCAATTTGGGACATGCAATTCCTGACCCTGCTGTGCAGGTGGATTCACTGAGCAGAATCCAGGTGGCAAATGCTGTGGTTTGCAGGGCCGATAGAGGACAGGATCCTCCTGGCCTTGCAAGGCTGCCTAAGTTTTGAAAAATGGCATGTGAAAAGGGTCTGGGTATCCCATGAAACACGCACGAGCCAGCAGGGTGATGCAGCAGTTGAAAAGGCGAATGCTATCTTGGGGTGCATTAACAGGAGCCCAGATCATGGGAAGTGATTGTTCCCCCCTACGCTTCCTTGGTCAGACCCCGTTTGAGTCCTGTGTCCAGTTCTGAGCACTGGGTTCAAAAAGAACATTGCCCGGCAGGAAGACTGTTGAATAAGCTCGGCGCTGGGCTAAGAGCAGGGAGACCCAGGGCCTTGCCCACCCTTTATCATGGGGGGACTTGGGCCAATCAGACTCTCTCAGCCCTACCTACCTCACAGGGGTGTTGCTTGGCGGGAAATAGGAGGGAATGTTATAAAGTTCCTGAATGATATGGATCAGCTACACCTAATTAAGGAGGAGCTCAGAGGAGGGCTACCAAGATCCTTCCGGTGGCTCTCCGTGTGGAGCCACTGGCACACCGGCCCCTTCCTTTTCTTTTTGCGTCCCGCGCCCCTCGTGGTTC